GATTTTGTGTGTGTGTGTGTGTGTGTGTGTGTGTGTGTGTGTGTGTGTGTGTGTGTGTTCAACTACAGCACTTTTGACCCTCATTCTGGACAAAGATTTCTAATCTAAGGATCATTATGGTAAGAAGACTTGTACATGGCAGCAAAATCCCAGGGAATTACTAGGAATGGGGATTTAATATCCTACTTGATAGGGGAAAGAAGCTATAGATTTTTAGATTTAACAGTTTCATGTTTTTACAATTTTTACTGTGTCATTCCCATCAGTACTGTTCAGAAATATTTTACCATAGGTAAGTATACCAATGCTTCTCCATGCTTGTTGTTCCAGTAATGGTAGCAGTGCTGCAGAAGCCAGTACCACAGCTGCCCAGCCTGCTGAGTCTACTCCTGGCTTTGTCTTTGGGGAGAAACTGGAGGAGAGAGTGGTCACTACCCCGGTCAGTACATGCACTTTCAAAGCTTGGACATTATACGTGTATTCCAGCACTATCATGAAAGTTTGTTTTGGTTTGACTAAAGATAGATTTGACTATATACTGTACTAAGTCACTGGAATCAAATGAATTTATATCTCTATTCATCCTTCATCTTGTGCATCCCACACTTGGTGCGTTTGAAAGGGTTGAGATTTTCATGGCTGTGACCAAGTTTCCTTGTGTGTACAGAAAACACAGTCTCCAGAGAAGGAAGAACCGCCAAATAAAGAAAAGCCTGAGAGTGACGACCACGAAAATTACTTCCTGCAGTTCTCAGCGACAAGGTAGGTGTCAATGCTATGCTATGAAACCAGATGTAACAATGAATATAGCTTAGATTGGGCAAAGTTTAATGAAATACAGGCAGTTGTAGCGGATTGTTCTGAATTTTTACAGCTCTTTGGAAACGGCTACCACAACGTCACCGTCTACCCAGACGGCGCCGGTTACCACCACGGCCACGACGGATGTGAACGCGACGCCCGCCGTCTTCGGTCAGAAGGCTCCGCCCCTCTGTACGGTCACCACGGTTTCGCCCACCAGCGGAGCCGCAGCCCCTTCCTTCATCTTTGGTCAGAACATGAATGAAAGAGTTGTGGTGAGGCTCAACTGTAGTTATGCATATCTCTGTGGGTAGGGTGGAAAGAGGGCGCGTGTGTGTGTGCCAGGACTCTAGCCAGCACTCTTTTTTCCGACAGGAACTTTGTGACATATTACGGGAAAAGTTTTAAACCAATCTGTCAACCTTCATGGACAGAAATCTTTGGTAAAAATATTAAAACATAGACCACCAAAAGACCACCAACAACTGCTCTCAACCCCATGATTTGCCTCTCAAAATGTGTGGAATTACGTTTTTAAAGGCTTGAAAATCCAAAATTTGCCCCCAGACCCCCCTAGACTGCGAGCAGTATGTTTGTGTGATCGTGTGCTTCTTTATTTCACAAACTCAAAGCCATTCCTTGCTGCCATGCTTGCTGAAATGTTTAACCGCCGCTTCGCTGTTGCACCGATTCAGAGCACGTGTGAAACATCATTGGACAAAGACAGGCAATCTCTGTCTGACTCACACCCACAGAGTCCCGCGCCCGCCGAGGACGAACAGACGACCACGAGCGAGCCCACCAGCCCAAACTTCAGTGACCTCAGCAAGAAGTCCGTGGTGAGATGTTGAAATTTGTTCTTGTGTCCCTAGTTTGTTTGACATGTTTGTTTTGCATAAGTGATAAAACTGCCTTTTGGCATAACAAACCAGTTTCGTACAGTAAGTACAAGTTGTGTAAGATCAGACTGTTAGGTTTGAACCACTCATACTGGTAAGGACAAGTACTCTTTTCGATGAGAAGTGTTGTGGGATCTTTAACATGCTTGAGGTGTGGCGCTCCTCAAACATGAGACATCCGGCTTTACGCCCCAATCCAAGAGCATGTCCCTACCTGAAGATACGTACTCATTTTTGAGTTGAGTGAGGAATTAGGTGTAAATTGCCTTGCCTGAGAACACAACAGTTGTGCTACTACTAGCAGCTGCACATATTATGGTTTGTCTCTACTTTGAGTCATTCTCTTTTCCATCTCTTACAGGAGACAACTGCTACCAGTCCTGCTGAGTCAGCAACAAAACCTGACAACAATGGTACATTGAAATGTTGGCACTTGTTCTAATTTTGGTTTAGAATAAGAACAGTTTAATCATTGAAATATCAACCAGTGAAACGATTTACGAATCAAAGACTTTGAGAAAGTCGAATAAAGTGGAATCCAGTCGCTGTCATTTTCCCAAAACTACGAATGATATTTATGAATCTAAGGTTACGAATGCTGTGCTACTGTCTGTCCTGCAGTCCAGCGGCTCCTGGAATCAGCGGCCAGGTACCAGGAGTCCCGCACGTCCTCCATGGACTTCGCAGAGGTCGAGAAGGTCACTGGGGAGGAGGGAGAGAGAAATGTCATGCAGGTGGGATTTGTTGCCATGTTTGTGTGTTTTTTCATTTCCCTTTTGAGCCTGCAAGCCCTTAGAATGGAAACATATTTTTCCAAACACAGTGGCATGCTTTACAATAAGGATTAGATCCTAACTTATGCCATGAATGAGCTGTATTTGTACCCGTAACACTGATATAGCTTTAAAAGTCTAGGGAAACATCATTGATATTTGCTGGCATGTATTTGAGTATTTGCTTCGTCAGTATAGATATTTTCAGCTATACCGGGTTGAACTAAAAAAATGTGCAAAATTTTGCCATTTTTGTAAGGCCAAGTTGTACTTGTTAAAAAATGTTTCCACCCCTCCACAGTGTCAGTGTAGACTCTTCCTGTTCAACAAGACGAGCCAATCGTGGCAGGAGAGGGGGCGCGGCTGTCTGCGGCTGAACGACCTCCCCACACAGGACGATGGGTCCTTCCAGTCTAGGATGGGTGGGTCCAGTACTGCTACTGTAGTTTGCTAGCAAGTTGTTATGGATTAACCTTTAGTTTCTTGTTAAAGTAAACCTTGCATTTTAACCATTGATATCACCTAATAGTATAAACATCATCGGTTGACTGTATAGGTCGTATATTCTTTTGTTGAACCACCAACTCCATACAGTAGGATTTGGACCATCACACACCGGGGCATTCTCCTACTCAAATAGAAACAAAATGACTTCACTGAGACCATGGTGTAAGAAAGACTGTTCAAATCTGGGATACAATCTGGGTACACATGTAAATGAGGGTTAAAATCATCCTTGTATTGTCAATTTCAAGCCAGTCTATGTTCATTTAAAGACAAGAATTTTCCTTGGTTGTCTGAGGGTTAAGTACTCCATTTGTTCTGTTGTTGACATGATGTCCTGTGTGTTGCCATAGTGATGAGGAGCCAGGGTAGTCTGCGGCTGCTGATGAACTGTAAGCTGTGGCCCCGCATGGTAGTGGAACAGGCCAGCAAGAGGAGCGTCCGTGTCACCTGTATGGACCAGGACAGGGTCAACGTGTATCTTATCATGGTGGGGACTGGGACATCTTTGGAAATTTTTATTTGATTACTACGTTGCAGGCTTATGGAGTCTGAATTATGCTGAGGACTAAGAAAAAAATGTTCTTTCCTGTTTTCTGACCGATCCTAGAAAACACTGCCGACCCTAGCCTTTTTTTGTGTGGATCCCTGTAAAGGACATAAATTTTTTCAAGGTAATCAACCTTTTCCAGCTCCATGATCTGACACCTGAGTGATGAAACTTTGTACAATCAGTTTTCCAACATTGACATTGCAAATATAAGTGTCCTCATGCAAGTTTTACTTTGTTAATCTGTATTCTATAAGACAGCTATGGAACTGACAACACTCTATCATAAGTTGGATCACTTTGCCTAAGTCTAATATGTAATATGTTAAAAATTAGAATAAACCTCAATTCAAGGTCCAGAGGCAGAGTTGCTCACGCCTACTGAAAGTTTTTGAAATCTATATTGTATTTCTTTTTTAAACTCTGTCCCGCTGATACTGACAAATTGTTACCCCACAGGCAAGCCCCAAGGATGCGAGCCAGCTCTTCACTGCCATTGAGTATCGAGTGCAGATATTGAAAAGGAGGGAGGAGAGACATGTACAGGTCCAGCCCCAGTGTGAGGACAGTGTGGGGTCGGAACAGATCACAGCAGCAGCTGAAGATAGCAATAGCAGTGTGGAGGACACCAAGAGAGTGGAGGGGGAGGTGCCAGAGGCGTCCGCAGAATCTTCAGGTATCACACAACGGGTGACCAGGAAATAGAGTCATGTTTAGGGATGTGTTACGACTTAAAGGCTCAATGCAGTTTTTAGGGCCTGATAAACAGATTTTTCGAAGTCAATATTCTATCTACATACTAGGTTGAAACAACACTATTGCATTGTATATTGACATACATGGAATAAAAATGACATAAATTGTAACTGAAAATTACCTGTACCAGGCAAATTTGACCAGACTTTGAGAAGCATGGATCACACCAAAAACTGTTACAGTAAACCATTGCCATTGTTCATTCAC